CCACCCCCCATGCCCTGCTTGCTTTCTAGCTTAAGGGGGAGCGCTTTGGGGTGAGGGCCGTGGCACTCTGTGACTCTGTTCAGTGGAGGTGCACCTAAACCTCGGGGCTTGGCTCCAAACCTCCAGGAACGCTTGGCCAGCAGTTCAGTGACCTTGGGGGTTAGAGGCCTTCGTGTAATTTTCAGTTTGGCTTTTTCTCCTCGTTGACCTCAGGCAGGTCGATTTTGTGGGCTGGGGCTCCCATGTTCTAAAGTGAAATTATCTGCCAGTATCCCTGTTGACTTGGCCCAAGTTCAAGGATTCTGCGATTGTAGAGTCCCAGAGTCTGAGACCTGGCAGGGGCCGGCAGTTCCTGCTGTTGGAGGCTTTGGGGGTCCAGTGCTCACTCCTGTCTGGGAACCTTCAGCTTTGGTCACTGCTGGTGGCCAGGAAAGAATGTGTGTATTTCACAGCCAGCCTTTCTGATGGGAAAAGAAGACAAGTCAGTGAGCGCCTAACATGTGTCAGACACCTGCCCCCCACTTCTCAGTTTTTCCCCATTTAGTCCTCTCAGAATCCCCAGGGGTGGGGCAGGGGACTTTATCCGTCCATTTCACAGATGAGGAAACTGAGACCCAGAGAGGTCTCACCTATCCAGCCCACACCAAACAGGAGCCCCCTTCGGTTGGGGTGGGCTCAGGTCCTTGCCGCCTTTGCCATGCTGTCTGATGGCCCTGTCCCCTCTCTCCAACAGAGAGCCAGCTGCTCCCCGGGAACAACTTCACCAACGAGTGCAACATTCCGGGCAACTTCATGTGCAGCAACGGGCGGTGCATCCCGGGCGCCTGGCAGTGCGACGGGCTGCCCGACTGCTTCGACAAGAGCGACGAGAAGGAGTGTCGTGAGTGCCCGGCCCTGTGGGGACAGGGGTGGGGGGATCCTGGGGTAGAGGGAGGAGGTCCCGATCTGGTGAGGTCCCATAGGCTCTCTTTGCTGCCCGGGGTGGGCGGGCCAGCAGTCCCGTCCTCTCCACCCATCTCAGTGTAGAAACAGGGACCTTGGTGGTGAAGGAGCCACAGGGCTAGGCACGCTCTCCTAACCCCCATCCTGGGGGACTGTCGTGGCCTTCGTTTTACACACGAGGAATCTGAGACCTATAGGTTATGGAGCCTCAGGATCCACCCACCAGCAAGCAGCGGACCTGGATTTGCACCCAGGCTTCCTGACACCAGGCCCAGGCTGATAACCTCTCGCACGTCTTGTACATTGTGGAGTGTTCTTGACAATTAAGTAAGAGGCAATGCGCCAAGTGTTCAGCACGGAGCTGGTACTGACTAGATCAGTGATGGTGAACCTTTTGAGCTCGGCGTGTCAGCATTTTGAAAAACCCTAACTTAACTCTGGTGCCGTGTCACATATAGAAATTTTTTGATATTTGCAACCATAGTAAAACAAAGACTTATATTTTTGTTATTTATTTTATATATTTAAATGCCATTTAACAAAGAAAAATCAACCAAAAAAATGAGTTCGTGTGTCACCTCTGACACGTGTGTCATAGGTTCGTGTCATAGGTTCGCCATCACTGGACTAGATAGTCATTTGCTTCCATGTGCCCTTTCCTCAGACGAGAAGGCGTGGGCATCATCCTTCAACTGGGCACCACCAGAACCGAGGGTATCTGACCCTCCCCGTGTAGTGCCCCTGAAATAGGCGTGAGATTCAGGTGGGGGGGGGGCGTCTATGAGAAAGGAGCCACCTGGGATGTGCGTGGAGGGGCGCCAGGTGTCCAGGGATCACACTCCCTGCCCCGGAGCGTGTATTCCTCTTCCTCCGCACAGTGTGGCGCTGCCCGGTGAGCGGGGTCAGGGCACCCTGCCAGGTGGGAAGCACCCCCCCCCGGAGTGCCGGCCTCCAGGTTGTCCAGGGGGTGGCTGCCTGGCGTCCACACCGCTGGACAGTGGTTCTTGGCTCTTTCCTGGGCTTCGGGCAGCGGGCCTCTGCCAGATGGACTGTGTGTGACTCCCAGGCTGCTGTCTCTCTGGAAGCCAGCTGAGGAAATGGCCGAGGAGCGGCTGATCAGGGGACTTCGAACATCGCTGGTACCGGGGTTTGAGGCCGAGGCCATTGACCCACGGGAAGGAGCACTGGGTGTGGAGTCCACCTCCGGAGCCGGTCAGCAACCACCCCCCACGTGATGTGTTTCCGAGGGCAAGCTGCCCGCTCCAAGATGCCCCTCACCCGGATGAGGGTCCAGTATTCTGGCTGCCGGCCCCTGCTCTGCAGACCTTTTGGGGGCTGGATCGGCAGTATGTTTTTTTGTGGGGAGGATTTCATTTTGTTTGTTGCGTATGGTTTTTCCTGAATAGACCACTGTACATACTGCATTTTTATTTTTGCAGTTTCTTAAACAAGTATTGTGTCTCTCAGCCTTGTCTAGTTTCTAGCATGGCTTTGACATTGCTAGAAATGTAACGTTCGTCATTTGAGTTCACATGACATAGCATGTGTGAACGTCGTGATCTGTCCAGCTCTGAGCATTATTAAGGCTGCACGGATGTGGGCACTGGCCACTTTAGGGCGTGGTGTGTATTTGAACCTCCAGGACATGCAGACTGTCCCTGGCTGAGGGGAAGTTCGGCACAGGATGAGTTTGTGGAAGAATGCAGGGCTGGGGGTTGAGATCTGTTTTATTCGCAGCTTTGTCAGTAGCGCTCTGTGATACCAGCGTCCGCTGTGACATTCTGTGTCCTCCGTCAGCCCAGGGCCGTGATTGCAGGATCCATGCGCAGACTGGAAGGGGCGGTGGAAAAGAGATGATAGAAAAAAATGATGGTGCGGGCAGCTGCCTGGCGCTGTTCGGTTTGGTTTGGAACAGGCTCATCTTGGCGGTTCTCCATCCTTTTTTCCTCATTTCCTACCCTTAACCCCCAAGTGGAGACTTGATTGACATTTATTTAGTCTTTTGATCAAAACATAATTTTAAAAACCATACACACAAACACATGCGTTAAAAAAAAGCCCTTTCCTCTGTTGCCCTCCCCCCTTTTTTTGGTCTTTAAATAAAAACAGAAGAACACTAGAAAGTTAGTTTAGACAATAGAGGGAAGGAAAAGAAGTCCTTTTAAAAAACAAATGCTTGCATTTTAAATTTCTGACATATTGCCTTACAGTCCGGGGAGTCAGTCGACAGTGTGGGCATTGGAGAAAGATAGTGTCCAAATCCCAGCCCCTTCTCCCACCCCTCTCCTCCCTGCTCTGTGGTCTTAGGAAAGTTACCAGAATGTTCTAAATCGTAGCCATTGGGAGGATCAAATGAGAATTCCTGGTGCTTCAGTTCCCTCCTCTCCAAAATGAGAACAAGGCTTCTAAGGGCATTGTTGGGAAGTTTGAATGCATGTTAACCACACGGCGGCATAGTGCCTGGTAGGCAACAACTGTTACTGGTCAGTCTGCACAAACGGTTTTATCCGGTCGTCGTCATGGGAACGCAAGATTGAGTAACCATTCTTCTTCTTCACATTGGAGGCCCTTGGCCACATTAGCATAGTTGGCATTCGTAATTGTTGTTTTGTGAGCTTGCCTATTATTCCATCAAGTAGATGCACTGCAAGCTAACCATCCGCTATTGTCGGGGGTTTAAGTCTCTTGCTTTTTTTACTTCTGCTGATCAAAAGGTTTAGGGCCAACAGGAGGAAGTTTTACATATGCAGAGGACAGAGCCAGGAGGGGCGGAGCTGAGGTCTCCAGGCTACCAACTGGCCCACTTACAATTCGTGCCACTTCCTTCCATGTCTTGCTCAGAAGTTACAAAGCCCTTTCTGATTCTTTGGAGCAACTTGGTACTCACAGGGAGGAGCGTGAAGGCGGCCGGTAGTCTCTCCGGGGAGAGGTGATTGCCTCAAGTGCCCAATGAAGTAGCTTTGGCCTTTAGAAGATAATACACTCAAACAAGAGTCCTTGCCCTTTTCAAAGGGTGAGAGAAGGGCGCAGAGCAGGATGTCACGGTGGGCTATGAGGCAGTGAGCTCAGCAGAGGAAAGATTGTCATGAGACAGGGAGAAACCTTATCATAAAGGGAATAAAATCATCTATTGGTGAAATTGCGGGGATGGGGAGGATGAAGACAACAGGGTCACACAGAATGGGTCCTCTAACAGAACTCCACCAGCATCTTAGAAGTTGTCATCAGCTGTACTCATCAGGAGTACACATGATGATGCGATGATTTTTTCTGTATCGTTTGTAATGCTTAAATAGTTCGTTCCCTTGGGTGTCATGTAGTTTATTTATTCCTTATTTCAGCGTTTGTCTCGTTTTAGTTTTTCACTGATAGAGACGGTGTTCATGTCCTGAGGGTGGAAGTGACTTGCCCCTACTTTGAGAAATTCTCTTAGTCTAGGTTCTCAGAAATGAAATGACGGGGTTGAGGGACAGAGGCTTTTCCTGGCTCTGGATCCCGGACCGCCCACGTGCTCTGCTGAGGGCTGGCACCGGCGTGCTCTTCCCTGGCACCGGCTGAGAACTCTGGCTGTCTTTCAGTCTTGGCAGCATTAAAAATATGTTTATGGTTCATTTGATAGTAGAAAACAGTTCTATAGTTTAATTTTTTTTATTATCTAAAGAAATTGAATGTTTTCCCAATACCTCTGTTTACTAGTTAGGTTTCTGACTTTGTGAAATATCTGTTAATGGGCTAGAATACATTTCCATCTGGGTTGAGTCACTACATTTTCCGCCTCATGAATCTGAAGAACCTCCCCCTTCTTAGAGTTCTGAGAGAAGAGGCTCCTTTTGGGAGAGTTTTGAGTGTATTTCTGTTCTTGGTTAGTGGCATGCCCTGCATAATCGTTTTAGCTAAATAACTGTTTTTGGCAGTAAAAGGAATAGAGAAATGTTTTAGAAAAACATGGACACTTCATGAAAACACTGTCGTGATGTGGCCTTACTTGAGCTCCCCTGGGCTGCACGTTACGCGATATTGACTCAGTTGTCACAAGTCCGTATGAGGAGGAAGCGGAGCCCCATGAGCTTGCACAGCTTGCCTGTTGGCCCAGAGCCCGAGTCCCCATAGCCTTCCTCCACCAGAGGCCACAGTGGGGTCCTTCCGTCTTTCTCTGCACGTGGAGCGGTGCCACTCTGCTGACTGAGACCCTACTGTTGTCACCACTAATCCGCTTTTTTAAAATGTAGAAACCTCGATGATGGTTTCCCATGGAAATGATTTCTAAGATGGCTATTGGTCCTGCGAGTCCCTGAAAGAAGAGACTGGGCTTCATTGCTACCACTTGCTGAAATAATAAAGCAGCGATCCCCACCTCCAGGGCCCACGTGTGACTTGGAATCCAGGCCCTAAAGTCCGCTTCCAGCTTCCAGCTTCCTGTCGGATCCTCGCTGCCACCTCTGTGCCCTGACCAAATAGGGGCGAGGAGGTGTGAGATCCGCGGCTCATTCTTCTCTTGGAGAAATAATATCGGTCTGTATCTTTGAGCAGGCACCTGCAGACTTTTAAAGTCACAGGCCCTTTATGTTTGTGTGGGGTGGGGGTGGGGGATGGAGGGAGGTAAGAAGAAATGGGGATAAATGCAAGGATTTTGTCCAGTAATAAAATGTAATACATTTCCAAGTTCAGAGACATTGAAAATAGGTCAGAAATGGAATTTAAATTGTATTTGCTTTTACTGTCCCCAACTGTTTCTTGAGCATGGCTTTTAAGGGCTCTGGTGTGATGCAGAAATCCATGGGCGGGATTGGACTAATGATCACCGAGAAATATATAAGGCGAAGGGATTAGCCAGAGAACATACCATGG